GTCATTGTTGTTTGGCGGGTCCGGGCTGGGGATTCGAACCCGCCACCTTAGGTGTACGTGGCTGGCGCCTTAGCCAGGTGAGCTATAGGCGCCGAGCCTGGGCCACCTAATTCTGTCCTCATCTACAGTTAAGGGCTTCAATGTGAAGAAAATTAGTAATAGTAAAGGATAAATCATTATCAACCCAGACAGCACAGACGTCTCAGGTGCTGGTGTGCTATAACTTCATTAAAGGATGTTCGGGTCTGTTGCCTGTACAAGCAAAGGTGCTATTAAATTTTCAACACATTACTGACAAGCATCCAATTAACTCCACTTAAGAATTCTTATTTTCCCCTGTAGGGACCAAGAACTATTCTCCATTAATATATTTAAATTACATAAGCTCAACTGCAACTAATTCAGACACACTAATTATTCCTCTAGTTCTAGGATGTAACAACCAAAAGTAAGGATGCTTCTCAATTAGGGTCTCTTGGCTGTTCCCACAAACACCCTGTGGCCTGAAAAGGGAGCAGCTCTCCCACTCCAAAGTCAGAAAATTCCAGTGTGAGCTGCCCAAGTCAGAGAGGAGCCAGAAAAAGGAAAATGGAAAGAAACAACAGGCAACTTTCAACTGTCCAAATGAATGGCGAGGGAAAAGGCGTGCAGCACGTTATGTGAAAAGTGGGGGCCGATCCAGAAAACGACATCTGATCGGGGCAAATATGATGAAGAGACTCCGAGGCACACACATTCACTCCGACACAGATGCACTCCTACCAGACACATGTGCACACACACACACACACACACACACACAGGCCCTGAGCCTGCCTCTCTGAGGAAAGAAGCTTAACTGGCCAAGAAAAGATAGTCAGGAAGTGGCTCCCGACCACTGTGAAGGACCCACACAAAGTAACCACTGGCCCTGGCTGCAAAGGCCACACGTGTTCCCCGGGAAACATCTGAGGACATCTATACGAAGTGCCCTCAGGGGCTGCACTCCAGCCTGTCCTCTGCAGAGACCCAATCTGGACCACGATGTAATCGCCAGCTTTCAGCAGCTGAGCTCACTTTGGAAGAATTAGGAGGCAGTATAGGCGGGACCCAGAGAAAGAGACTGGTGAGTACTGCACATGCGGGTCAGAGGCTGGGCGGCCGGGAGGTTACAGTCATCCGCACAACAGGCCTCTGTGTGGGAAACACAACCAACTCTGATAAAGAGCTCTGAAAGCTAGCCTCCCTCTGACAGGCACACATGGCCATACAGGCAAGCACAACCACCTGTACTTGTTTTTATTTATAAATTTGAAGTTAATATTTGAACACCCACATTTATTCAATTTAGACTGTCCACTTATACCAGGGTGGTCTTACACCTGCTAGGGCAATGTCAAATACGCTCAGGCCAGGCCAGGCAGCCAGGTGAGTCCTTCAGGTAGACAAGCTGCCTCCAGCCCTGGGTTGCAGCGCTGCCTTTTGTTTTGTCCATTTCTTTTTTTTTTGAGACAGAGTCTCAAGCTATCACCATGGGTAGAGTGCCGTGGTGTCATAGCTCACAGCAACCTCAAACTCTTGGGCTTAAGCAATTCTCTTGCCTCAGCCTCCCAAGTAGCTGTGACTACAGGCACCCGCCACAATGCCCGGCTATTTTTTTTTTTTTTTTTTGGTTGTAGCTGCTGTTGTTTGGCAGTCCCAGGCTGGGTTCGAACCCACCAGCTCTGGTATATGTGGCTGGCACCCTAGCCGCTGAGCTACAGGCGCCAAGCCTGTTTTGTCCATTTTTAAAAACACAAAGATAGATTTAAAAAATGTACATTTACATTTTCACTATGTTTATGATGCACAAAGATACAATGCCGTACAATTGTGTGACTCATAGACTTCATATAAAATATCAACCCTGAATCTACACATCTTAGCCTTAAAGAAAATAGCAGTACCATGACATCTGCCATAGGAACCTACATATCTGAAGAAATGAGCATTATTAGGGTGAATGGTGAAAGGCAAAGAGATGAGTGAAGTTCATGGTCAGCCCTTGGGCGTGGTGTCCAAGACCACCCCTCACCCCTGCCCAACACTATTCCACGGCCACATTACAGATGCCCTTCTCTCGAGTCCTTACCTGCTTCTGGAAATTAACTTCAGGCAAACAGGTGCTCAACTGTGAGGGGAGGGCTGTGGCCGGGGAGAAATAGGAAGGTGCCGCCCTGTGGAAACACAGAACACGGGTCATGGGAGGAGCCAGAGCGGCCCCAGTGGCTGCAGAGTCAGACCTGGAGACACACCCCAGGTGAGGGATTCATAGCTGCTGGCAGGAAGCACATGGAGTTGGGCTCTGTCACCATCCAGAAATACCTGTGTGTCTGGCAAGCCTTGGGAACCTGCTCCTACACCTCTGGGAGGAGGTGCTGACTGCAGCTCTGCTGACCTGTCATTTCTGGCAGAAGCAGGTCAGTCCACTTGACACAACACACCTCCTCCCCGTGGGTTAGTCACCAAATCTAATTGTGAGCCTGTGCTCAGAGACGTTGTGGACCAGAATGAATCACACTGGGACAGCTGATGGGCAAGTCCCAAACCTGCACAAGATGATGTCCCACCCACCAAATCTAGCTCGGTAAGCAAGGCACAGGCAGCCTGGCACTCTGCTTCCTCTGCAGGAAGATGTGCATCTGTTTGTGTGCTTGGTGAGCACCTGCAGCGGCATGTGTAAACACCAGCTAACACAGATGTGTTACATGGCTGGGCCTTATTCATGGACCTCTCAGACTGGCCACGTGTCTACCTGCCCCCAACACGCCTCTGCCAGGAACCAGAGAACACCGCCTTCCTTTGCTTCCCACATGCGATCTCGTCATTTGGGTCACAAGTACGGGCTCATCAAGCAGGAGCCTTACCTGTCTGGACCCCCTCCTCCACTGGGGTGCACAGGCCATGGGCCTCTGTGTCCCCCCAGAGCACCTGGTGTAAAGGTGGGCTCCCGGCTCCCAACCCGTGATGACAGGAGAGGTCTGAGGGCAGCACCAAGGACAGCTCAGAAACCCACTGTCTTCAATGAGTTCTGCAAAGAAAACTGCTCACTGACCCCAGGGGCTGAGGAAAACATGCTTTGCAGAGAAGCAGGATTTCAAAAGCTTCCCCTGAAGTTAGACATTGCTCTAAATCTCTCAGTCGTGTTGTGTGTGTCCCTTCAACCAACGGATGGCCCGGGGATGGGGGAGCTGTCACCTAGCACTGCCACCCCCTCCACCATCAGACTAACCCTACGGGAAGAGGCCATTTATAGCAATTAATTGCTCTTTTATTCCTCGAGATATCAAAGCACTGAAATACCAAGGAACCCTGGGGAACTTTCCACCCAAGTCCCCACATTCCTTCAAAAAGAGATGAAAAGAGAGCCTTCTTCCACTTCTGAAGGGCTTTAATTTCTTCAACCACCATGACAGCCAATTATCACTCCTGTCTAGAGGGCTCAGACTCTTCCAGAAAGTGGAAAGGATCTTTGTAGTCATGGCTTTAAGGGAAGGGGTCAAGAGGACAGGGAGTCACAGCCAGCTGTTCCATCTCATCTTACCATCAGGTCAGTGTTCCCAGTTTACAGAAAAGGAAACTGAGACTCAAAGTGCCTGGTGCCCCAGAACCAGTGTGAGACGACCCCCCCACCCGAGGAGCTACGTTCTGTTTTCAGTTCTGCTCTGCGCTGATCCGCTGTGTGGGTGGAAGCTGGTTGCTGACCTGCTGAGCACAGCATCTCACCACCTGCAAAGAGGAGACTAGGACCCCTATCACGTCCTCCCCAGGCTTCAGGAACATGAGTGCCCCGCACTTGGCCTACTGCTCTGCTGTCGTTGTCTTGAAATTCTTAATAATTTTTTTATTTAGAGGCCCTGCAAATTATATAGATGGTCCACAGAGAGAAAAGGGTGGTCAAGGTGGTTCTCAAACTACCAAGGGTCCCATGGACTCAGGTCCCCCAGGCTCGGGAAGGAGGTACGAAGCAGGGCCCGGTGGCGGGCACCTGCGGTCACAGCTACTTAGGAGGCTGAGGCAAGAGGATCACTTGAGACCAGGTGTTTGAGATTGTAGGGCAACCCTCAGGGCATAACTGCAAGCTCTAGGCAGGATGAAGGAGGCCCAGGCCCTAATGTTCTTAAGGGAGTGAGGGCAGCCCTTGCCTCCAACAGGAAATCAGGAGCTAAAAGGAAGACAGGCTGGCTGCCCAGGTCCTTGGACCTGGACCCACATGCTCACAGCACACAGAACTTGGTTCAAGCCAAGAGTCTCTGGTCACCAGGTCAGAGTCAGCTACCCAAGGAACCCTAAGGAAGAGAAGGAGCCACAGCAGGATGATGGGGAGGGGTGCACAGCTCCTGCACTGAAGATCTCAGGCAAGTGAGCCAGGATTGGCCTCTCTTTTGTCTTCTACACTCAAACCACATCCCTGTGTGGAAATGTGGCACAGAAGAATCCAAGTCAAAAAGAAAAACACAGCCTAGCATGTCCACTAACATGCACATGCCAGGTGATTCCTGGGGAAGTCCATGGAACTGGGACTGAGCCTGCCTGTGCAGCCAGCACAGCACATGGGTGGTAGGAGGGGTGCTACAGGGTCCTGGCCTGCCACCTGCCAGCCAGGGGCCCATGGAGACACATGTGCATTCACTCCACCAACAAATTTACTGAGTATCGACGATGTACAGGGATACATCCATGAAACAGCAGCCCAAGGCTCAGCGCCCGCAGCTCAGTGATTACAGTGCTAGCCACATACACCCAGGCTGGTGGGTTCGAACCTGGCCTGGGCCAGCTAGACAACAATGACAACTGCAACAAAAAATAGCTGGACGTTGTGGTGGGCACCTGTGGTCCCAGCTACTGGAGAGGCTGAAGCAAGACAATTACTTAAGCCCAAGAGTTTGAGGTTGCTGTGAGCTGTGACATCACAGCACTCTACTGAGGGCGACATAATGAGACTGTCTCAAAAAAAAAAAAACAGAAAAAGCAGCCCCAATCCCTACACACATCATACCCACACCCAGTGAGGGAGAGAGGAGACAGCAAACCCAAACTAAGCAACGGGTAGGTAACGTCACACGGAGGCAGGAGATGAAGCTGTGGGAACCTGCTGAGAGGTGCCGGGCATGGGGTGGCTGGGGTAGGGCTTCCTGCATAGAGAGTGGGGATGATGGGAAAGTGGGCTTGGGAGCACAGCTGGACAGAGGTCCTGTGGGGGACACATGGGTGGCTGGGGCTAAAAGGGGGAGGAAACAGGAAGCTGATCCTCAGGGCCATGTCTCTGCTGAGTGGAGAGGGACAGGACGCAGGGTAAGAGCAGAGGCTGCGGCGGGAACAGAGGCAAATGTGCCAGGGTCCTTCCTGGGTGAAGGCGGCAGTGGCAGAAGCGTGAGGGGTGCGAGGTGGCTGGGGAGACCCACGGTGCAGACCAACAAGTGGGACAGCAGGCAGTGCACCGCAGGGTGTCAGAGAGCGATGTCTGGGGATGGATGTGGACATTCCTATCAACTGAGAGGTGGGAGACGAAAGCAGAGCAGTTGGGGAAGATCAGGGGTTGCAGTTTAGACAGTTGAGAAGCCCTGCCCGTCTCTAAGCCTCGGCTTCCTCATCTGTAGGAAGGAGATGAGGCTGCGGGAACCCTCATCTCGAGTGGGGGTGGCATGGGGACTTACCCTGAGGGCAGGCTACACAAACTGGATAACATAAAAAGAATGTACTTGGCACAGTGCCTGGTATACAAATACTCAATAAACACTAGTTACCATTATTAACGACACAGTAAGATTTAGCTAAATGATTTTTGTTACAGGATGAGGGAGACGAGTAAAAACGAACAAACACTAACAGTTCAAAGGGTCTCAGCACCCCCAGCCTCTTTTGCTCCCCCTTCCCTCACTGTTTGCCCATCAGCCCCAAATGGCTCTGAGGAACGATGGCTGGGAGAGCTGTGGGGGGACCTCAGCAATGCTGCCTGGGTCACTGCTGTTGACAAAATCAGCCTGGTTGAGAACACTGCTTTAAAAAAAGAGCTGACACACACTTTGGCTTGTTATCTGCCATGTGCTGTTCCCCACTCTCTGTCAGTCTTTCTACAAATGTCCCCAGAAGGCTTTACAAATGAGCACACCATGGTGCAGAGAGGGGACTGAACTCACCCCTGGTCACCCAGCTAGTACACACTGGATCAGGATTCGAACCCAGGTTGTTCAGGCTCTTAACCACCCTGCCCTGTTGCTCTGTAGTATACAAGTAGATGGATAAAAAGTCACTCCAAGCCAGGGTGAGGAAGACGGCCAAAGGCCCAACGCATAGCTCCTGCTGGTGTCCCGTACAGGGCAGCACCCTCAGGTCCTCTCGTGACATCAAGTGAGGAGTGCCAGAGAGGATTTCCACACGGGCCACTCTCGGTAATTAAACGCAACAACCTCCTAGTCTCTCAGCCTCAGAGCAGCCACCTTAATTAACAAATTCCACACTGCAGCCTCCTCAATCCCTCAAGCTCAGCATTCTTTTTTTTTTTTGAGACAGAGTCTCACGGTGTCGCCCTGGGTGGAGTGCTGTGGCGTCACAGCTCACAGCAACCTCTAACTCTTGGGCTTAAGCAATTCTCTTGCCTCAGCCTCCTGAGTAGTTGGGACTATAGGCGCCCGCCACAATGCCTAGCTATTTTTTGGTTGCTGTCATTGTTGTTCAGCAGGCCCAGGCTGGATTCGAACCTGCCAGCTCCGACGTATGCAGCTGGCGCCCCAGCTGCTGAGCTATAAGCGCCAAGCCAAGCTCAGCATTCTTGATGGGCACTCGGCCAGTAGACAGGAGCAAAACAGGTCTCCTAATGACAACTCTGGTGAGTCAGGGAATTTATAGGACAGAGCACCATTTTGCAGGATGACTTTGGGCTAAGGGATTTGTCCTGAGGTCACCAACCCAAATTCTAACCCAGTGGTTCTCAAGCTGTGTGTTGCAACCCACAGAACTGTATTAAAGGGCCATGGCATTAGTAAGGTTCAGAACCACTGTTCTAACCTGGTCCAAAGCTCATTCTTGGGTGGTGCCTGTGGCTCAAAGGAGTAGGGCGCTGGCCCCATATGCCAGAGGTGGTAGGTTTAAACCTAGCCCCAGGCAAAAACTAAAAAAAAAAAAAAAAAAAAAAGCTCATTCCTGCTCCATGAGGCCCAGCAATACTACAGAACGA